TCTAAAATTAAAATTAAATTAAAAAAAAAACTTAAGTGCAAATAGCATTTGTTCTCATGGATTTGTACGGTTCGAATTTTTATCTTACTCAGTCGTGAGCCACAAGGAGAAGATTTAGAATGATGGGTCGTCAACTTAAACTGGCGAATAACAGGGACTACCCTGACAAGGCTTCATAAAAAGTCTTAAAAGGTGAGCCTACAAACCGGGGGGGGGGGGGTGAGAATTTAGATAACCCCCACTCATAAAAAGAGAAAAGCAGATAACCCCCACAACACAACAGAAAGAACTCATACGCCCGCTCACACACAACACATACAACTCAAATGACCCCTCCCCACAAAATTAACAATCAAAACTCAAATGACCCCTGCACACACACACACATACACAAACGCAAGTACAATACCCCCCCCCCCCCCCCCACACACACACCTAAAAAAGCTCACTGAATACCTAAACAAATCTACTAGCAAATAAATACCGTCAAGGTACGGGCAACGTAGTTCAGCTGTCAGCCCAAACGCGTGCAGCTGCATGTCAAATAAACAACGACGACAGACAGTTTGATTACAGCTGGATGCTTGAGTCAATATCCTATGTAACAACACAATACTAAAAGGACATACTCCCCCCAAATACAAAACTTCCAAGTACACATATCTGTGGAGTTGACAGTTCAGTTTGATTACAGCTGGATGCTTGAGTCAATATCCTATGTAACAACACAATACTAAAAGGACATACTCCTACCTAATACAAAACTTCCAAGTACACATATCTGTGGAGTTGACAGTTCAGTTTGATTACAGATGGATGCTTGAGTCAATATCCGATGTAATAACACAATACTAAAAGGACATACTCCCACCTAATACAAAACTTACAAGTACACATTTCTGTGGATTTGATTACAGCTGCATGCTTGCGTCAATGTTTTATGTAACAACATAATACTAAAAGGACATACTCACACCTAATATAAAACTTCCACGCACATATTTACAGCTGGGTGCTTGCGTAAATATCCTATGTAATAACACAATACTAAAAGGACATCACCGAACACAAAACTCCCAAGCAAACATTTCTGTGGAGTTGACAATTTGATGACTGAATGCTTATGTCAATAACTCATATTTAAAGGACATACTCCCGCACACACTTTCCCCCACACACAAACTCACATTTTACCGAGTTGATGTGTGTGGGGTGTGTGGGGTGCCACTTGTCTGACACCATCTCCCTGCAAGCTTGCACTAAACAACTTTTTTTTTCTGGAAAGAACAGGGGGTGGAGGATATTTTACGACATGGCGCTTAGGGCTTTGATCCTCCTGTCAGAGCGTACACTAAGCCATGAGGGGGTGGGGGTGACGAGGGGAGGGGCGGCTCGTAAAACAGCTGTCAGCACGGAATGTTCTCGGTACTTTAGGAATCACAGCAGACGTGAAAGAAAAAGTAAAAAAAAATATTATTGAAAAGAAAAGGTTCAACACAATTGTTTAAGAGAACGCCTCATAATATTAGCCTATAGTCAATAAACATACCGGTACAGAAACAGTCTTACTAAGGGGAAGTAATTTAATGAGGAAATAGAGACAAAGATTGGATTCAAGGGGAGACTACTGAGGTAGACAATTTAGATGGATAATCTAAGCGTTTCATTAGCAGCAGGGAGAATAGGATATAGATATTCATTTAGACTTTAGACCTACGCTTGAACTGAGATGTCATGCGAGGGTGGGGGGAGGGGGTCTAGAGTGACATCTGCTGACATGGTCCCTTAATGAAACACCTGGGGTTTAGACCGTGTCATGCTGACATTGAGGTGGTACCGCAAGATCAAACGGTTTACACTGGAGGAGTGGCGTGGCCCAGGATAGTCCCAGGTAGGTTATCGTTAGGGCGGGTTACGGTCAGGGCCATGTGAAGAGTCAGACAATGTTAGCGTCAGACCGTTTTTGCGTCACACAGTGGTAGCGTCGGGGGGAACACCATTAATGGATATCTTGGACAACTTAAAGCAAGTTGTCGTTCAGTCTTCTAATCTAGAAGCCGGATAAAGATATACACCCACACAATCAGCTGTATTTGTGAGAGCAGTAGAGATCAGTATTTTAAGCGTATACATTTATTCATACAAACACACACACACACATATATATATATATATATATATATATATATATATATATATATATATATATATATATATATATATATATATATATATATATATATATATATTTATTTATTTATATACAGACATTATATATGGAATATATACAGTCGATTTATAGCCTACATACACACATACACACACACACACACTCATATATATATATATATATATATATATATATATATATATATATATATATATATATATATATATATATATATATATTTATATACAGACATTATATATGGAATATATACAGTCGATTTATAGCCTACATACACACACACACACACACTCATATATATATATATATATATTTATTTATTTATTTATTTATATACAGACATTATATATGGAATATATACAGTCGATTTATAGCCTACATACACACATACACACACACACTCATATATATATATATATATATATATATATATATATATATATTTATTTATATACAGACATTATATATGGAATATATACAGTCGATTTATAGCCTACATACACACACACACACTCATATATATATATATATATATATATATATATATATATATATATATATATATATATTTATTTATTTATTTATTTATTTATATACAGACATTATATATGGAATATATACAGTCGATTTACAGCCTACATACACACATACACACACACACTCATATATATATATATATATATATATATATATATATATATATATATTTATATTTATATACAGACATTATATATGAAATATATACAGTCGATTTATAGCCTACATACACACACACACACACACTCATATATATATATATATATATATATATATATATATATATATATATATATATATATATATATATATATATATATATATGCCTAAACTGCCTATGCAGAGAGGGAGAGTTACCAGAAGTGATGTATTGGCAAGGGGCTTAATACAGTGTCATTAAAAAATCATTTGTGAAACCTGATTAGCTTATACTCATCCAGAAAACTGCAGAAATTATCCATAGCCCCAGGTAATGATTTACTTTTTTAAAAATAGTTTACACGATGCTAACATTCATCTCGCTTGTCTTGTTGGTTAAAGTCTGGAGTCTAAGGTCTATTTATTAAAAAAAAATATTTCTCCAGTCTGCCAAGTCAAGCGACCTAGTTAGCCCCGCATTAAATTCGCATCGTTTAATTTTTTAACAATAGCTCCGCACTAAATTGACGTAGAAATGAGTCAAAAAATTTAAAAAGCACCCTTTTTAAAAAAAAAAGTTTAAAATGAATTAGTAAAAAAAATCCATTTGGTTGAATTTGTTGTGATTTTCTAAAATTCGGTGTAAAAAAATCAAGGAAAAAGTGGGGTTACGAAGTTAAAGACTTAAATAGACACCGAAAATTTTAGTTAAGGGACATGATGTTTAAGACACAACTAAGAAAAAACATTATGAACTTAGTTTTCCTAAATATAGTGTACATAATTTTCTAATTTTCTATGTAATGTTCAAATCATTTTTACATTTAGCACCCTGAAACACGACGCCCACGCTTCACCATGTTCATATCCCCATTCATCTACCACTAACGTCTAAAACACGTTCATGTTTCATACTCTCACTCTATCCTTCCTTGTCATAACCGACCAATCAAACTCGGCCTTTCATCTACTCTCCTGTTACCAAAAACCTCCATTTTTCTTTCGCCCAATCGACATCCGGCTAATATCGCTATTTGGGTTCATTAAAATTATCTCTACTTCTCCATCTAATCCCCCCACCCCCATCCCACCATAGTAAGCCTGTAGATTTTGTATCAGGCCGTCACATCACAAAGCTCACCGGCGTTTAAACACGCGCGTTTAGACACACAGCTACGGTGTTGACTTATCTGATGAGCCTACAAGAGGCTTGTCTTACACCTAAATTATGAGACGACTAAACAAGACCCACATAGTACGTGGTATGCATAGGAAGCCGTTTTTACAGGCCAGGACATTATATACATTACACACACGCTTTGACATACATAGATGCCTTTATTAGAAATACACTTAAATTGTTGCAATTTAACCAGAAATATAAATATCGAAACCGAATTCTAAATATTACCCTTTCTATAATAAGTTAATGACCAATTTACCTACAGCCTAGTCCTCAGATTAATATTCAACCAAATCCAAATAGTATGGCCTTCTATGGTGAAACAGTAACAGTCAACGTGTTACGAGATGTTCCATACAGACAATAGAATCATCATTTCTTCGCGTTCGGAACTAAGAAACATGAGGCAGATGAAGTAGAGTTCATCTGTTTAATGACCTCGGCATAATAGGGGCTCGTGTCGTCAGCACTATATCCAGTCGCTTTTGTTTCCTTAATGTTAGCCAGGTACCCATCAGAGCTGGGTGGACTCAGGGACGTCCTACAGACTCGAGCCCGGGATCCAAACCCGAGACTTTCAGGTTAGCAGCAGTAAGCTCTACCATGAGACCATGAGACCATAGACTAAAGAACCAACACAGTTTAAATGCGATATGAAAACAAATTAGATATTTGACGAGGGAGATAATCTTCTCTAGTCCACGTCATCTCATTACGGCTCGGAGAATTCAATGACCACATTATAAAACAAAATAAAGAAACTTTCGTCCCAATTGTAGATTTTTTGAAGTTACGAAGTTTAAATTAATTGGTTTAAACATGGTCAACATATTTTCTTTCAAAAAGTTGATGACATATAGGTTGAGGAAGAAGTAGGTAAAAGAGAAACATAATGTTCTAGTAGCTAACGTGAAGATGAGAGTCAAGTAGAGACATAATATTCTAAGTACTCACGTTATCTCGCATTTCATTCTCCAGAGAGCCGGATGAGCCATATTCACAGACTTCCTTGACCCCCCGGCTGGCGTACTGACCATAGTCCCAGATCCTGTAGTCAGTCCCGTGGGTGGCGCCCACTAGATTGGACCAGTGGAGTTGGTAGGAATCTGTGAGAAAAAAATGTCAACGAAAATGTATGTAATTTATATAAAAAAGAAACGGTGATTTTGTTGTAGATGATTACAAGTAGAAAAGTGTCTGTGAACTTTTCTTCTTGATCTGGAAGCGTTGGTTTTATTTGGGGATATCTACCTGTTTAGAGTTTCTTCCAGGAATCTTTTCGGGGAGAGGGGGGAGGGGGACGACGGGGACGAAGCCCCCCTCCGGGAATTTTAGTCCGCCTACCCGAAAATTTCAAGTGCCCCCCCCCCCCCCTACCCGGAGACAACAGTCTGGAAGAAACACTGAACCTGTTTCAAAGACAGCAAATTCCAAAACAATACAACTGCTGACTTGTAGATTGTTCTTGGTTGAACTAAAGCTATGCAACCACACACAGGTAGAAAAGCAGTCGGAAGTTGCAGTCAACTGGGCATATATGGCGTATAACATGCAGTGTTTCTTCCAGACTTTTTACTGCGGGGGGCACTTGATATTTTCGGGGGGGGGGGGGGGGGTCGACGTTTTTCGGGGGGTGGGGGCGGACATTAGTAAAAGTGTATGTTTACTATATAAATTGCATCCCCAGAAGAGATGCCTGGAAGAAACTCTGATAACATGTTGACAGGCAATAATAATGATACAATTTTCGAAGAAGAAGAACATTCCAGATAAAAAAAAATAGAAACCGACTCACTTTTTTCGTCTGGAAATCCCTTAGGATGCGTGTTCCTGGACCACAGGCCTTGAAACTCCAGCGTGTACATGGCGTGGCCACAGGCACAGCAGCCGTCGGGTGGGCTGGGCAGGTCGTTGTTGATGCCATTGGCAGAGTCTTGCAGGATAGCTGGGGACGGAAGATGGAACTTTTGTAGTGACAGGGTTAAAACGTCGGTATGGGAAGGTTGTAGTGACAGGGTTAAAACGTCGGTATGGGAAGGTTGTAGTGACAGGGTTAAAACGTCGGTATGGGAAGGTTGTAGTGACAGGGTTAAAACGTCGGTATGGGAAGGTTGTAGTGACAGGGTTAAAACGTCGGTATGGGAAGGTTGTAGTGACAGGGTTAAAACGTCGGTATGGAACTCTTGTATTGAGGAGATTTTAATGTCGGAATGGAAACTTTGTAGTGAGGAGATTTTAATGCCGGAATGGAAAGTTTGTAGTGAGATTTTAATGCCGGAATGGAAAGTTTGTGAGGAATTTTAATGCCGGAATGGAAAGTTTGTAGTGAGATTTTAATGCCGGAATGTAAAAGTTTGTAGTGAGATTTTAATGCCGGAATGGGAAGTTTGCAGTGAGATTTTAATGCCGGAATGGAAAGTTTGTAGTGAGATTTTAATGCCGGAATGGAAAGTTTGTAGTGAGATTTTAATGCCGGAATGGAAAGTTTGAGGAGATTTTAATGCCGGTATGGAAAGTTTGTAGTGAGATTTTAATGCCGGAATGAAAAGTTTGTAGTGAGATTTTAATGCCGGAATGGAAAGTTTGTGAGGAATTTTAATGCCGGAATTGAAAGTTTGTAGTGAGATTTTAATGCCGGAATGTAAAAGTTTGTAGTGAGATTTTAATGCCGGAATGGGAAGTTTGTAGTGAGATTTTAATGCCGTAATGGAAAGTTTGTAGTGAGATTTTAATGCCGGAATGGAAAGTTTGTAGTGAGATTTTAATGCCGGAATGGAAAGTTTGTAGTGAGGAGATTTTAATGCCGGAATGGAAAGTTTGTAGTGAGGAGATTTTAATGCCGGAATGGAAAGTTTGTAGTGAGGAGATTTTAATGCCGGAATGGAAAGTTTGTAGTGAGATTTTAATGCCGGAATGGAAAGTTTGTAGGGAGATTTTAATGCCGGAATGGAAATTTTGCAGTGAGATTTTAATGCCGGAATGGAAAGTTTGCAGTGAGATTTTAATGCCGGAATGGAAAGTTTGTATGGAGATTTTAATGCCGGAATGGAAAGTATGTAGTGAGATTTTAATGCCGGAATGGAAAGTTTGTAGTGAGATTTTAATGCCGGAATGGAAAGTTTGTAGGGAGATTTTAATGCCGGAATGGAAATTTTGCAGTGAGATTTTAATGCCGGAATGGAAAGTTTGCAGTGAGATTTTAATGCCGGAATGGAAAGTATGTAGTGAGATTTTAATGCCGGAATGGAAAGTTTGTAGGGAGATTTTAATGCCGGAATGGAAATTTTGCAGTGAGATTTTAATGCCGGAATGGAAAGTTTGCAGTGAGATTTTAATGCCGGAATGGAAAGTTTGTATGGAGATTTTAATGCCGGAATGGAAAGTATGTAGTGAGATTTTAATGCCGGAATGGAAAGTTTGTAGTGAGATTTTAATGCTGGAATGGAAAGTTTGTAGTGAGATTTTAATGCCGGAATGGCACGTTTGTAATGAGGAGGTTAAAACGCTGGCATAGAAAGTTTGTAGTGAAGTGATTAAAACGCCAGCATAGTTATACGTGTATTGTCAGTGCTTTCTTTCATGATTAAAACCGAGCGGGAGGCGCGTTTAGAAATTTTATGCCTCCTGTGACCTTGCGTACCATGTTAGGGCTTTTTAAAAATACGCACACAAGGTATGCATTTTTTTCGGTTGCTATCACCGTCACGTTTTAGACTAAGTTAAAGGCAAGCACTAACCCTATGATAAACGTTATCGTTAAGGCAAGGTTATGTTACTGTAGGCTTATAAATATCTCGCAGTTTTCAGACAAAAAAAATTTGAAAGTTAGAAACATCAAAAGAAAGTAGAGTATTGATTTAAAATAAAGTTTTATTTTCTTTGAAGATATTTGATCGCACGCTAACACAGTTTTAATCCTCGGATAATCCAAGACTTTGTTCAACTATTTACAAACGAAAACTTGTTGTTTTTTTAAGTGGCCTTTTCAACATCTGCACATGAATGTACGACATGGGATTAGCTCATCACTTGTTTATTGATTGCTACTCATTTAGGATTAAAACTTCACTCTGTTTTTTTATATTTATATAATTATTTATATTAAATAAATTTGTTATATTTTTTTAAAATAAAAGGAGTTAATCAAAACAAAGAAATATATTTGGGTTAAGCGTAATTTTTTGCTATATCTTTTCATCCCTTTTTATGTAAAACACAGCTTGTAGTTTTTGTTTGTGTTTTTTTGTTGCCGTAACAACAATATATTTGATATATTATTCATTGCTAAAACATAAAAAAATACCAAGACAATATAAAACCTGAAGTTGCAGAGCACAATTTTTTAAAATTACAGTTTCCGGAACAAATCCTTACCGATTCCTAAGACAAGTCCAATCACAAGCATCGTATTGCTGCACCGTAGTCTCATGGTGGATCTAGACAATCAGCAATCTTAAAGATTCAACTTTCATACCACTTAACACGTAGCGTATTCCACACACAAATATTGAATGAAAACAATTTACGCCAGCAAAATTTTAAAGCCAAAATCTACTTCCGATACAGTGGGAGGGTTAATAACTCACTAACACAAACGGGCAAGTTATAAATTGAATGCGACGGGTCACGTGTACTTTGTCCTGGCCACTTTTGTACCATGCAAGTGGACGACACCATGCATGAGTACACACTCAGACCTACTCCAGATGTCTACAGTCAAGTCTTCCCTGTTTCCGTTATACAGGCTTTCCAGCCCTCCCCACTTAACCAACCCGATGACGAAATAAGAATATTTCACAAACTTTCAAAAAAAAAAAAAAAAAAAATACAAAATTAAAGAAATGAAGAACTAAAATAACTTTCAAGCAACATTAAAAAAAAAACAACCACTGATTAAAAAAAAAAAATTAAAATAATAATTCGAAACTTATAATAGAAAATATTCAACTCACTTTCAAATTTAACGCTGCCAAATGTATCACATCTGTACCAAAATTTTGAGAACCGTTATCAAAAAAACTTACTTAGAAGCACTCAATGCTGAATGGTTCTATTTATACCTCTAAATGTAGAAGCAATTAAACGACTTATCGTTCAGTAACACACCACAGAATATTATGTCAGCTTGTTAAAGATAGGCGTGTTGGTAGTAGGCAGCGGCTCAGTCTACAATTCTATTGGACTATCTGCACAATGTAGGCCCCTATACGTCCCTATTGTTCCCCGAATAAAAATGGTAAAATCGGTGTACATTCAAACTACTAAATTAAAAACAAAACGGAACTAAAAAAAGATGTTTCGAATTAAAATGTAGATTTATATAGATCTCAACATATTTAGATTTAAATATTTAGTACTCAGTATATTCACATATAATAGAGATCTAATCTAAAATATACTTATGAAATATTCAGTATAGTAAACGGGTGTCAGGAATGCGCTTTCCAACATTAAAAAAAAATCCAGTCAAATCTCCACATTCATCACACAAACAAGGTCTAAAAAACTAAGGACCTTTAACAATAGATTAGCTTGAGATTATTTAAGAGGGCAGATATCGAGTATGTTTTAAATACTATAATCGGCTACGTTTTTAAACCAGCCCCCCCCCCCTCCCCCTGAAAGACAGATTAGGTGGAATCTGTAGCTGACTGGCCCCAACTGTGATCCTCCCAGAATACGTCTCCCCTCCCCGCCCCTGCACATTAAAATTCAATTAGCATGGATACGCTAATGCTATACATCTAAACAACGGTTTAGAACTGCACAGCAATGGCAATACAAAACTCTCGTCTACGATGTAAGAAGCAACAAGAGAATGGAAAGAATGTTAGTGTTAGCAGAGGCAATTCCCATGAACCATTGCACTTCTCAACAATAGAACTAAGATAATATAGCCAATGATGTTAGAGAAACAGCCAGCTGACCATAGCACCATCAACACTAGGACCAAGACATTTTAGCCAAATTACTATCAATATTAATTGGCAGTTGACCATAGCACCATCAACACTAGGACCAAGACATTTTAGCCAAATTACAGTTAATGTTAGAGCAATGACCAATTGACCATAGCACCATCAACAGTAGGACCAAAACCATCAGGACAACTACCATCTACAAGAGGATAATGACCACCTGACCATGGCACCGCCAACACTAGGACCAAAAACATCAGAACAACTGCCATCTACAAGAGGACAATGACCAGTTGACCACAGCAACATCAACAGTAGAACCAAAAACATCAGGACAACTGCTACAAGTGGACAATGACCAGCTGACCAACAACAGAATTAGGTCCGTTGGGTGGAAAACAGTCGAACTTTATTAACGTGTGATCCTGCTTGTGATAGTTCGAGAGTCTCGAGTTCGGATCTCGGGTAGAAGGGTACACCCAGCTCTGATGGGTATCTGACTCACTTATGGTCAAATAAAGACGACTGTACATGGCATTGACGAAACTCTACATTCATATGCCGAGTTCTCAAAAAACAACAGAACTCTACTTCACCTGCCATACGACTTTGACTTTTTCACTTATTCTTTTGTGACCCCCCCCCCGAGTAGCAAAGGACTACAACCACTCCCCACCATTGGACTCGGTTTTTGAGCGGCTCTCTTTACTTGCGTCCATGTAATCCCGTCGGCCCTTGCCTCATCTTCTACTGTCCTTCTCCAGGTTCCTTCCCTATGAACCGTCAGGGAAGTTTTTTTTTTTACAACGACGACTACCTTTTCTCATAGATACAATTCAACTTTAAGTCTCACAAACACCGCTACATTTTCACACAGAAAAAATAAATGAAACTAAAAAAAAACTCCAGAAGAATGCTCTTCACACTATCATTATCACAGAACTTGATATCAACCTTTTAGCGTGAAGCCTCAAGATGGAGACTTTGTGAGAGTAACACTACACTAAAAGGAAATTTTCAGATCTTT